CATTTTCATGATGATCTATTTGATTTAATTTTTAGTTCATCCACCATGGAGCTAAAGTAACAAATCTAATTTTTTTTTTTATATAATTCTAAAGAAATGATTTGTTTTATTTTTATATATAACTAAAGTTAAGTGTTTCAATTTATCGCCAATCGAACTGCCCAAATCTATAAATACACATATTAACATAGAATATTTGAACATGTAAATATCAAAAAACTATCATGGCATCAATAAGTTTCAAAGTCATAACAAAATCAAGACATTAGATCTCAGTCGACATAAAATAATATTTTAACACAACATTAAAAAGTTTTTTTCATTATTTTTTCACCAATTGTAAATTTAATCACCGTGTCTTTTATAATTTTCATGATTCACACATGCATCATGACACATAAACATACAAATATTACACCCGATCGTTACAGTTCTATTAATAATAAAGTATCATCAACATTCTAAAATTTTATTTTATATGATTCAAACATCCAAATTTAAAACTATCAACTTTCTTATAGTTGTGGTGCCAATGGCTCCCAGGTGACAAGTTTCTTGTACAAATAAGACATTTCATTAGCACTGTTGGTCGTCATGACACCTTGGTTATTGGATGTTAACCAATGGTCCAACCAAGTTATGGTTTATTGACCTTGCCTGTCAACCTAGGCTTATTATCAATCAACCATTGGGAGCTTTTATTGTCAATAAGAATGAGAAATAATCATTTATAATTCAAAATAGGGATTACATTATCCTTCAAAATCTAAACATTAACATCAATTCTTATTTTTTACACTTATAATCAAATTACCCATGATTCATAACCGCTATTGTTTTGATTACTTTTAAAAATATTCAACAATCACTTACCCTTCTCTTGACCAATGTCTTAAGATGCATGCATTCTATTAATATGCTCTAATGTTCATTTATTGATGACATCCACCTAATGTTACTATTGATGACATGTTTACTAAAATCCATAATTTTAAATTTGGCACGTACCAATTTTGGAGATATGCTACTAATAATTAAAAGTCAACAACACTTGCCAATTACATTAGATGTAAGGAAAGTGATGGACTTGACAATGTCTTGAAACCCTCCCTTTGTTTTATTGACATTATCCCCTCTTTGCATTACTTTATGAGACAATCTTCAACTACATTAATGCCTTGTATTATCACCTTATATAAGTTTGAGGAAGGACAAGCTATTAGAATCTTAGTTTAAATCTAATGAATTTATTTAAGCTTGGGAAAGACTATTTTATTTTGTTTATCTAAGTTTCTAAAGTAATATGATCTTTCAGTTTTTGGATATGTGCTATTTTTCAACTCTTTATATATTAAGGTAATACTATAATAGAGCCAAGTTAAGCCAAGCATGCATTGGATTGGAATTGGGTTCGTCATAATATAGGTGTTGTTCATCTTTGGCTCGGGTTTGAGTCAAGCATTTAAATGAATGTTCGTAGTTGTTTAAATTTTTTAATAATCCTACTTAATTTGAATTTGAGTTATTTATATTAATTGAATGAGTATATCAATTAGTTTACTCAATAAATTAAAATTTTCAAGAAGTGCATTATTTTTCATATAAGTTATTAATAAATAACTTTATGAATCGAAACAAACAAAACGATGAATAAATTTGAAATTAGTATATAAGTACTTTATATAGAGTAAATACAATAATATATTTTTTTCAATTAATTAAAATAAATATGTACTAATAAACTAGTTTATTAAAAATGAAAAAAAAAATAAATTCATTAACTTATATGCATTTTGATGCCATAAATTACTGTGACATAATCGGTCAATCACGCAAGTATACATTTCAATCATGTAATATATAGATAAAGAGTTTACTTATCGATCTCACGAAGGTGAAGTTCTAGTTTACTAAACCGTTACATCTAGTTTAAAGTGATCGAAATGGAAATTACGACAATCCAATCATAAAAATAGCAGCAAAACAGGAAAAAAAAAACATTAAACAAATATGGTAGTCATGCAAAATATATGGAGCAACTTTGAGTTCTTCAGAGTTAATGAAGCTTGTGCTCTTATGACATCAACAAAATGTTCTCTCGATATTTTCTTTGTGAGTTCCCCTACGTGATAATTTACAAGTAGAGAGAAAATACTCTGCAACCTATGTCTAGGTCATAAAAAAATTTGGATATTATATTACAGTTAGGAGGGACTTAATCATACAACTTTCATAAAATTCGTTCGATCCTCTATATAGGTTGTACTTTCCTAATGACAAAATATATATTTCACCAGGCTATTGAGTATTAACCTAATCATTCTTCTAGTCAGTAGTTATGAGTGCTAAATCATGAGGGGTTTTAACTTTCTAATTGGTCAGATCATGAGTAAACGGTAATCAAAAGATTGACACATCAACTTATGAAAAGAAAAGACACATAAAACGTTAAAGTAGAAAAACTCACGATAAAAACAACGAGAAAAACCGTTCCCTTACATCACAAGAGCATGAAAAACTATTAGCTACAAGGACATAACGTAGCAAAAACATGAAAGATTTCATTGCAAACTGAAGAAACAGGTGCAAGAAAGTACACAAATTTACAACTAAACCTAATGTTCTTCACAATACACCATGTCTTTGCCTTATAATAAAATCACTCCACGATCTCCCTCAAACGCAACCCTCAATATCTCTCTCTCACAAACAAACTCATTAAACTCCAAGGAAAAGAGCCCTGGAAGCTTTCTACCAAAAGAGAGAAGGGATAAATCCCTAGTGTTTGAATTTGAAATTTCAACTATTGGTGAAAGAAACCTTCGAAGTATTGCAAAAAACAAAAAAACTCACCTAGGGTGTTCCAATGCACCTCCTTATATAGAACTCACCTAAACTATCTTTGAATAGGTTATCAAAATTGCACTAGATGGACCATGGCGTAGCTACGCTAGTATTCGGTGTAGTTACATCATAGTTTGAAATAGCTACGCCAAGGCTTGGCGTAACTATGTTGGACAAAACTCCATGGAATCGCCATATAATTACACCGCATAGTGGTGTAATTACGCCATTCCAACAACTTGCCCTTTCATGCTTTAGTTATGTCAGACAAAACTCCATGGAATCGTCAGATAATTACACCGCATAGTTGTATAAATTACACCATTCCAACAACTTGCCCTTTCATGCTTTGACTTCACAACGTGCATTCAACCACTATAATATGCAAAATGTCACAAAAACAAACCCCAAAAGCATAAAGTCGTAATAAATAGAGAAGAAAAAAATAGTATTTAAAGGAGGAAAACAACTTAAATTTAGATTACATCAATATTCACTAATAAAAAATACATTAATTTAAAAGGCTAAAAGAATTATGAATACTTACATAGATAATGAGCAAACAAACGAGTTAGAACTATTAAAGGGGGGGGGGGAAAGAAGGCCATGATTAGGAGCAAACAAACGAGTTAGAACTATTAAAGGGGGGGAAAGAAGGCCATGATTACTAAGTGTAGAGCAAACTTCATATGGTCTGAGAAAGTGGAAAATTTTTTAAGAATATATGAAATTACACAATTAATGTGATTATATAATCGAAAATAGAAATTATATTTTGAAACAATGATAATATAATATTAAATATATGATAGATTGAATATGATGGATAATGATATATTAAATAATAATTAGGGTTATTGAATAAGTTAATATTAATAGAATAAATATATAATAAAAAATATTCTTAAAATATAATTGATATTAAATTATAATATATAATTATTAAATGCATAATTAAACAAATTTCACTTAATTAATTTTTTTTTAAAAATAATATATCAATTATAATATAAGTAAAATTGCTCTTAATATCTATCATTTAACAAAGTACTTATTGAACAACAAACAAATTTGTTCATAAACATAAATAAGTGAAAAAGACCGTGTTTAAATTTAATTCATTTAATATTCAAGTCTTTAAAAATGTTCCAACTTATTTATTTACTAATTCAAACCAACTTGATCTAGTATTAATCATGCTAAAATTGGGTTGTTCATTGGGTAAACTAGTTCATTTACAACCCTAATGTGGGGATCTTAATGCATAATGCAAAAAAAATTACATAATGCTTAATCTCTATTTTTATAGATTTTCTAATGCAAAAAAAAAAAAGTTGGGAATATTCAAATCAAAATTTAGTTATTAGGGACATCAATGTGTTAGGTGTGTAAACGAGCAGAGCTTGAGCCAACCCAAGACTTATTCGTGTTTGGCTTGTTAAAATTTATTTTTGTTCATGTTCAGCTTGTTTATTTAACGAATAATGAGAACACGAGCTAGTTAATGAACAAAATACAAAGAGTTCACAAACAAGCTTTTTTGATAGCCCTAACGTGAGATAGAATTGGGCTTAGACTTGTATTTTTTCTTTTGGACATTTAAATACATACCAATCAAATCCTAACTATTTACATATCTAACGTCTAAATTTAATTATTTTTATTTATATCACCCAAATCTCTTATATTGTATTTTTTCTTTTGGACATTTAAATACATACCAACCAAATCCTAACTATTTACATATCTAACGTCTAAACTTAATTATTTTGATTTATATCACCCAAATCTCTTATACATGTATTTTTTTAATATAAGTATAAAAATCAATATAAAAATGATATAAATAAATATTATCATTTAATTATTTAATTATTTCAAGTTAAAACGGGCTTAACAAGAACACAAACATTTGCTTGTGTTCGGCTAATTTATAACTCAAGCTCAAAAAATTTATTCGTGTTACTCACTTGACTAACAAATGGATTAAACACGAGTCACTTAACAAGTCAAATATGCGAACAACAAATTTTTTTGACAGCCCAATGGTTAGGAGTAAAAATAAAAAAAATAATAAATAAATAAATAATAAAGTTATAAAAATACAGAGCAGTAGAGCACACGTCAGCT